CCCATCTCATCTATTTATTTGGTAGCAAAGCTGGTACTCCAACATTCCCAATCAATCAATTAGAGTTGGATAAGATATCAGCCCTTCTTATTTTTAGCTATGTTTGCGAATCTACACAGACAAATGAAATCAAGTTCATCGGAAAGAGGGAGATGTTTATCTATCCAGATTTTTAAACATATACGAAGGGATTCGACACTAAGGGGCTGTTTTTTTTCATTAGTGCAACTACCAACTACATGTAATTAATGTATCAGAAACTTTTATCGACTACAACTGACAGAAGACTTCAAGTATACTTCAGCTTTCTGAAGCCATCGAAGTTAGGCAAATGTAATACAACTTGTGTGTTAAAAGAACCGGCAGTCAATCTCACTCTACACTGATAATGAATGACTTTGTTCTTAAAAAATCTCATTACTTGTAAAACTCCTTAAACTTGTAATTAGCTTCTGTTCTAAACGTATACAATTTCAGAAACTTGAAACTTACTTATCGTCTTTCAAATTTCATACAAAAATACGTGACAAGTAATTGTGTCACCAGGAATTTATCGTTCTAATAAATCATGCACTTCAGACAAACTACTTCTAATTGCTTTTTCGACAGTTTCGCAACGCACATTCAAGCGCAAAAATAAAATACAGTAAAATATTAGACACAAACTACAGACATTCGTCAACAACTGCTTACGCTGGCTTGTTACTGAAGATCAGATGGCCAGAAAGAATAAGCAACAAGGAACTCTGGCTGGCTGGCAAAGAACCTATCGCCCAACAGATATGCAGAAGGAATTGGAGATGAATGGTATTGGTCATTCACTGAGAAGACGATTCGGAGACATCACGTGACAGGTCAGGTTCTCGAATGAAATTGAAATGGGAAACGACGAGTTAGGCGTCCGAGGTTAGGGTGACATGGAGGAGATCGTATGAGGAAGAAATGAAAACTTGTGGGCAGTCATGGAGCTAGGTTGGAAAGACTTCAGAGAAAAGAGTGCAGTAGAAACGTGTTACTGAAGCTCTATGTTCCACTAGGGACCGAAGGGACAAATAATAATAAAATATTAGACTGGCTTATGAATAGGATTTAGTTACAGGGAGAATATAGTGATATTCAAACTATTCTGGTGGACAGTATTTAGATGCTCTATCGTCTGGTAACTTTAATCAACCATGCGAACGAACTGAAATTAGTAACAGACTTTGTAAGACAGTTTCAAGATACTTGAAGACCTTAAGCAGGTATTAGGTAGGGGAATAAAAAGACTGAACTGACTGACATTTTAGAATGCTTTAAAGTTTATATGTGGTACTCAGCAGGTTGCTTACTATGCATTTGGGTACGCAGTGAACTGATGCGAAAAACAGTAAGAAGATAAAAAGTAATACGTTTATACTATGCTTCTAAAGAAAGCATAGCTTCGCTGAAACAAAAATAAACCAATCACTTGTCTTGTGATAAATGATGAAAGGGATTTAATACAAGCGGGCATGAGTTTACTGGAAATATTTTAAATGAATCTAAACGGTTAACATGAAAACAGACTAGTTTAATGTAGCTCTTTTTATCTGAGTGGAAACACGATGTATATTCTTGGTAAGTGTGCAGCTTAAACCACTAATGACTACAGTAAAGTTACACCTCAAAATATATTTTTGGAAGATAACGTGCTAACACCTACGCAACATAAAACGATATTAAGAATCAGGAGAGCGAACGTTACTACGTACTGTTTTTCACCTTCAATTTGAAAGATAACTATTCCTCAGGACTTTTGGCAAAGACTCATGTCAAGGGTAATGAGTTTAGTTGAAGTTGAATCAGTCTGGTAGATTGGTTGCTGACCCAGTCTCGGCAGGGATACAAAAGAATCAATTTACATTCCCTGACTAACATCATATGTAGAAATAATGTACTATGCAATGGTCCGATATGTCTTATTCTGAGCCTTTGGTTAGGAGGTTATACACCGTTATCTTCGTTTGTCGATTAGATATTTTAATCCTATTTTTAGAAGAGTGTTATCAGACTATGAGTTATAACGATTATTCATAAGGTGGTAAAATTATTCTAAACTTGAGAAACCTATGATAGACCATCTGCCAAAATGAAGTCACACAGTGAAGTGACCAATTTACTTGGGGACTGTGATCAACTTCAATGTACGAACTGCTAACAAAGTCTCAGGTTGGATACCAGAGGTCCGTTTGACACTTGTCAACTTTTTGCACCGACGAGATATCCCACTGCATGTCTAAGGAAGTAAACATTGCGCCACAGCTCATCCTTCCCTTTTATGAAAATGTAACAGTCATTAAATGTAGAATACACAAAAATTTGACAGGTTTTTGATTCTAGTTCCATTTGTAGTTTAGTAGAATCATCATTTGGGCATTGTTAGAGTTGGACACGGAGTAATAGATAAAAAACGGAAGACGGTAATAATAATCATAATACATTTGCTTTATTCTGAACCATAATTATGCTTACACTACAGAATTCTCGGCGTGTAATACTGAGCAGTTTACCCGTTGTACAACAATTTTCAAATGTATATTAATAGTGGTGTGTTTAGCAATAATAAAATGATTTTTGAAATCTGTAGCGACACCAAGGTCATGATAGATGTTTGCTATTGCACAGTTTATTGATAAGACTATGTCTAACATGATTTTCTTCACACAATACACAAGCTAAATGAGTTACGGTTGAATTGTTTGCCTTCCTTGAAGACAGACATGGTGAGAGGTTTGGTTGCTGACGGTACCTGTCATCATATAAAACATTTTTAGCCAGCTGTCTAAAACAGTTCAGTACGGTTAGTTATGTATCACTTGCTCTACCAACAGCCTTTAAAATCCTACCCAACGCAGCGTAGTCTTCCTTCCGGAGTTCAGGAAAGAATAGAGGGAACAGTAAGTAATTATAGGCAAAATACAAGAACTAATGATACGTAAGAGTAGAGACTGAGTTATGCCAGACAGTCTGAGTTTCCTTATGGAAAATGTCAAGCGATGGATTTACCTCGAAATCAGCAAGTTGTTAGGTGACCAAGAAAGATTAGAAGAAAAGCATAAGACAAGAGTCATGGAACTGAAGCAATTTATGAAGGTATTGTTCCCGTCTCAAGCCAGAATTAACCATTTGACATTTGGAAGGATTCATTGAGAGGATACTTAGGGAAGACCTATGACCAGTTCCGGTTAAGAATTTAATAAACTGAGAGCAATCTGAAGAGATGATCAGCATGGATACTGTTAGATCACCTGCTTATATGACAAAGTTAGCCTTAGTTGAGGTTGGCAAGTCATGCAAAAAGAAAAAAAGAAAGAACAGTACCTTGAGGCACAGCGGGTTCACTGAGTAACGAAGTAGATCGCTTCCCTCCGTATAGAGTGCACTGTCTTTCTTGAGAAAAATAAGAATCAAGTCAATCTGCAACCTTGGACTCGATGAGAGTTTCGGTAAGCTTGTTTAATAAAGAGGAGTCTAGGGACAGAATCAAAAGTGGAAGTATAATTTAAGAAGGCGAACCTAACATACTTAGCACCTTCATATAGACTGGCAATGATATTATGATGTAAAACACCTATAGCATCTAAAGTTGTTTTTCTGGGTTTGTAGGAAAATTGATTTGGACCTCTGAAAGCTTCTAAAGGAGGTTCATGCACAGGAAGTAACAGTTTTTGCATTGTTTTTAGGAACAGTGAGGTCATAATGAGCGGTTAGGATTTCAATTTTGATACAGAAGATAAAGACTAAGGTACCGAAACTATTCTAATTTCCTTCCAGACTTTTGGTTCATCATTCCTGGTAAAGGATTCATTGAAAATGGTTGTGAATGGATGACATAGGACATTTTGTAAAAAGAATATCTGGCATGCCGTCTTATACGAGGCTTTGAGAAGGTTTTAATGATTTTAAGCAGTTAAACACATCTGTTTCATTGAATGCAGGAAAACTGCCTTCTATATGTGTAAACAACTAGATAACATTAGCAGGTTTACGTGAGAATGACTCCATTAGTGCACAAGCGTTTTCGCAGGCTTCATTTCTGAATTGTCTTTTGCCAGTTAAGTCATTAAAAAGACTCCATACGTTAGAAGGAATTTTACATAACATAATCTTCTGGTTATAAATAAAATTCAGGCATCTTATTTCAGACTTAAAAAGACAGTCAAGTCTATTAGCACCAGCATTATCCTCCGATTTGTACAGTCTATCTTTTTTTCTGCACAATCTTTCTAATTGCGGAGACAAAAGTCTACCAAAACTTAGCAAACTTATTTCAGCTGAGCAGCAAATATCACGGCAAAATTTAAGATAGAATGTAACAGCATCAGTCGTATCATTCAAAGCATTATTTTCAAATATTCCCCATCCTGCATTTTATAACATGTATTTGAGTTGATGCATATTGTTAAACGTAGGGCTCTTGTGCATCGTCTCCTTAGATTGGTATGTAAAAGTATTTTTCTACAGTTTGCCATATATTCTTGATAGAACACGTATAAGACAGTGATCTGAGCTCAGCAGTGGTGCACGTTTCCGAGTTTTATACATACCAGGTTTGTTAATGAAGACCAAGTCTAATCTGGCATTAAAACGAGTAAAACAAACCAGGTCACTGTGATTTCCAGAAAATTAATTCGCGGATAGACCTTTTTGGGTGTAAGCTACTGATACCAAATTAGGAATTCTGCATGCGTTGGAAACATTGAGGTGAAATTACTAGAAAAATTGAATTCTTGGTAATTCCAAACCTTGTCTTCATGCAGTGGTATTGCTCAATTTACTGCAATAAAGTTGTATTTTTCAACTGCTTCCACAGTGTGCTGATTACGTTGAAATCCTTTCTTATAAGCATTTTTAAGTTGTGCATTCTTCTCACAAGAAATTATGCTTTCTAAAATATTCGTTATCAATGTTACAGTTACGCGGAGAAATTATTCCGAACCACTCCCTCAGTGTTTTTTGATGAATAAGTCAAGACACAGTAAACAATGATGCACTTTATTTAAGAAACCACGTGCATTTTTATAGACTATATGATTTAAAGTTTAATAAAAACCTTTATTATCAACACTTCAGAATAAAAATTGTCTAGACTTCATAACTGTTGATTGTCATATGTAGAATACTTCCTGATAAAACAATTTGAAACGCTGAGACAGGTAGACAGGGGGTAGTACATTATCTGAAGCGACCATAACCTCAAGTGAAAACCGATCTCTGTCGTCTAGAAACTCAAAGTCACAACAACCAATCTAAGTTTTATGTTAAATTCATGTAGTTATATTTCGAGTACTTACCTTTTCACACATGTTCCTTAAGCAATTCTTGATAACTGGTGTGCACAAATGAGCGTCATGCATATAAGTCAGTAACAATTTCTGCAGTCGACATTTGCTAATGACCGAAAAAATTGCAGGACTTTTCGCAGACAGTAACTAAGAAAATGATAAAAATCAGAAATGTTCCTACCGCATTGATAAAATCAAGAAACGGAGTTGTCAAATTTAGAACGTTATCCCCTGCAGTATCTGTTTGCAAATGTTCGAGGATAATGTCACCCCAAGGATTATTAATTAGGAACAAATCTATGAATTTTCAATAATTTTCAATGACTTACTGATAAGTGACTGTTTCTTAGTGTTAGCACATACATGACTAATAAGACAACCGTATACTTCAATTGACAATTGCTGGGAAAAGCGTTGAGTCACGTCTATGATTCCATCATTTAAGCACATAAAAAGCTGTGATTAAAACAAGAGAATAAATACGCTTTAGATTTTTAAAATCTAGCATATTAGACTACAGGAATCTTGGTACAGTAATAATAATTTTTTCAAAAACAACAAACATATTTAGTTCGATCTATTGTTTGCCGTATCAATTAAGTCTTATCACAAAGTTTGTGTGAACTTGTAATTAGTGTAAAAGATATTAAGATAAAAATATATGATGTTCAGTCACTGAATAGTAACTGAAACTAGACTCTACAAGTCTCTGTTCCTATGAAATTTCTAAATGCACAGCATAACCATTAAATTAAATGGCTGAATAAGGTGGGTGACTGCGTTCAGTTCTGGACAGTTTGAAAAAAACAAGGGGAAACCTTGGAAATAGGTTTGATACTTTTGACACTCCAGCTTAGTGAATCCGTAGCCGTGAAGAAATTGAGGGTTTTTCATGCTCAAAATCCCATCAGTTATATACTGTAGAGGGAAACAGTACCGGAGCATCCAAACCATTAGTTTATTAACAATTTTAGTAGAATCCTGAATAAACAGAAGAAATGGAAAAATATGTTTCTTTGTACATATAATAAAAATTACTAAAAGTCCCTTTTAATTTGGTCGTCAAAGTTATATCTGAAGAGAATTCGACATCCACATATATAAAAAGGTTTTATAAGTGTTTAGATGACACTTTAATTGTTGTTCGTTTGGCAAAACATAGCTTAAAATAAACTTTTATTTATTCACAAGCAGTATTCCACTTTCTAGTGCTGCTCTAAGCTCAAGCTACAGGCATGTCTGCGTTTGATTTGACCATACAAAGTGGTCATTTCTTGCAGCAATTGTTCGTGGCATTATTTTCTGCCTATGAAATTTTAAGTAAGAGTTAGACAATTCACCAGTAGTAAGAATTGATAGATATCACCAAGTTATTTCAAATCATTTGTTTGGACTGACTATATTATCTGACAAAGCGATCAAGTCGGTGGTTTGTAAAGATTAGTTGATTTCTAAATAGTTTTTAACGCTGACTGATATCAGTTGGAAAACCCATGCTCTGAGGTTTTCGACAGATGTCTAACTAGTGTCAAACCGTGATGAAAACTATCTTAGAATCAACCAATCTTTGCAGACCCTTGACTGGATTGCTTTCAATAGCAGATATATATTTCGCATGCAGTTTATTTGACTGAGGTTACCCTTATATCGAACAACAGACTGAAATTAACTGACTAAAAAGAGGAATACTACTAAATCCTGGATTCTACGGTTCAGTGATTTATGTGGGAATCAATTAAATCGCTATTTATTTTTCACAAGCATTAAGAAATAATTTATTCAGTGAATACCTTATTTCTTGCATCTTGTCATAATTTCCGGTAACCGTGACAAACTTTACTTACTTGTCCCTTGGGTTCCTAGTGGAACATAGGGCTTCAAACTCTCAAACGGCGACAGACTTTACTAGAGTGAATATATAAAGCGAAGAAAGAGTATGATAACAATTAGTGGTGAAGCTGGGAATTACACACTTAGCGTCACGAGAAATATGAAAATAAGATAAGACTGTATACGCTTTGAAAGAGTCAACGATAGTGCGAATCGCCTTCAGGTGTATGAATATACGTTGCATTAAAGTTGTGGTTAATTGACTTAGGAAGTTCACTTTCAACAGGTCAGTCGGTGGTTCGAGCACCAATATGCCTACGAGGTCTAGGTAGTGATACGTAGCGATAAAAGCCGCCAATTGAGTTGTTTTCAGATCATGATTTACATATGCACTGACATGAGAACCTGAATGGAGGAATTCAACATCATACAACAAATCGGATTAGTTCATTTGTGGCTTCATTTTCTGAGAGTTTTCTAAATACATATCAATCATGTATTTATCTAATAAAGTTTTCGTTGTTCTGCAGTCACAAGCCATCTTAGTCTTCTGATTTTTTTGCGGCTCAGTGAAGTATAGGAGGTGGAGGAGAACAGATATAGTACTCATATCCAGTCTAAGCATCTGGTTGCGTCTTACTGGAACTCACGTCACCTACTCCAAGCTGCAGTTACATCAGGCGGCCAGTTTGCATCATTAACCCTCGCACAGCAGGAGAGGCTTACTGCACGCGGCGCGAATGTTAACAAGCTTTCTGATAGCATTTCGAATTTTTTAATGCAATGTCTGATTCATCACGTATCGCAGTAGATTTTCTATGCGTAGGGTTTATAATAATAATAATAAACCCCAATCTCACAGGATAAACAAAATGTGTAGGTAGCATCACTAACTCAGTGATAGTTTTTATGAGTATTATTTCTTATTTAGCAACCTCGCCTGGTTAACTAGTTCACTAGTTACTAGCCGGTCCTAAGCAAGGATAAAGAAGGAGGGTTGGGCATAGGATTAGCAACCCTACCCCGGGAAACCAATCCAATCGCTAAAGAAAGTTCAAAGCACAAAAAATATAAAAAATTGGCCGATGTGTCCTCTCTCTCGGTGAAAACAAACGTAAGCATTTTGACATGCAATTTCCGCACCGTGCTTGAACCTAGCAAGGTCGCCCAGATTGCCAAAGAGATGTGAAGGTATGGTACAGAAGTACTAGTAATCTGTGAAAGTAGATGGAATGGAAGTGGACTCTCCAAACTGTCAACTGGGGGTCAATAATCTACTCCAATATTGTCACCCAGACGACAATCACGAGCACACTGAGTTTTAAAGTGGCTATCATGATGTCCCCAACAGCACCAAAGGATCTCTCTCATGCAGTGTAAACCAATCTCTCCTGCAGGATCATCACAGCAATATTTCAGTCAAAAGGAAGCAAAGTCAAAGTCATACAATGCTACGCTATGCACCTACAAATAATGCAGATGAAGAGAAGAAGGAAGAATTCTACAGACAACTGCAATCAGTAATGGACAAGACTCAATCCCAGTTGGCGACATCACAATTCTAATGAGTGGGGTGACATGAATGGCAAAGTGGGAGCAGACAACACTGGAAGGGAACTCATCATGGTTCGAGAGGCACCTGGCGAAATGAGTGTGAATGGAGAAGTGTTTGCAGATTTCTGCGCCTTCATTGATCTGGTGATTTGAGGCAGTGTGTACAAACACAAGGATATTCACAAGGCAGTGACATGGATTTCACCAGACACCAGGACATACTACACTGCAAATCGAATCGACTTGATCTCGATGTGAAGAAAGTGGGGACGCAGCCCACTGGTCCCGAGATCAGATGAAGAAGGGGAGCAGATGTGGGTGGTTCACACCACTCACTCAGCATGTAGTGCAAAGTACCTACCTTCGAAATCAAGTTGAATGCCTTCAAGTTGAGGAGGTCGGTGATAGACCAGAATTCAAGTTGAACAACCACCCAGAACAGAAACTGAACTGAAGGACGAAACTACAAGGGGCGTCTCCACCTCAGTCAACCATCAGGACAAAATGGGAGACATTGAGCAATATCCCCAAGGAAACGTGAGTGGAAGAACACTGGAACTATATGGAAGGGACGTGGAAGGGAACCTGCATAACCGTGTTAGGTAGGAAGAAGAAGAGGCAAGACAATGAATGGATATAGATGGACACACGGGAGCTGATAGAGAGGGTAGAGGAAGAAGGAGAAGCAGAAGATGAACAAGTGCAGTGCAGTGCATGTAGTGTAGTGTAGAGATGAATAACGAAGAGAGGAAGTGAACACAACCTATAGAACACTACACTGGACGAAGAGGTGAAGAAGAGTACGCGCAGAGACAAAAGACACTTCTACGACACACTGGCAAGTCAAGCAGAACAGGCTGCAGATAAGAGAGACCTCACAACATTATATCGAGTAACCAGGTAACTGTCAGGAAGGAGAGAGATCAACACAGCGTGGATGAAACCAATGGGCGATGGTGAATGAAGCCTAGTTATCAGAGAGAGAGAGAGAGAGGGGGAGAGGAGAAACAAAGGAAACGACGGGCTGACCACTTCAAAAAACTCTTGAATCGACTACCACCACCATCTACAACTCGTCCAGAAATACCACCACCAGCCCAACACAGAATTACCAGTGAACACAAGCCCTCGTACAAAGACAAAGTGAAGTGTTGAAGGCCATCAAGTTGCTGAAATCCGGCAAAGTAGGAGGACTAGATGGAAGTCTGCCAGAAGCACTGGGAACAGGCACAGAGACATCAGTACCAGACATGCTCACACCACTATTACAGAAGGTTTGCAAGGAAGGAAGGACGGACGGACGGAAAGGTACCTGCCAAGTGGGAGAAGGGCTACCTTGTCAAACTCCCAAAGAAGGGATACCTTGGTGTTTGCAAGAACTGGTGAGGAATCAAGCTGTTGTCCCTGTCCACCCTAAATAAAATATCAGGCCACATCATCCTGGAGAGAGTGAAGGATGTTCTGCATTCGAAATTACGACCGGAACAGGCTGGCTGGCTGGCTGGCTGGTTTCAGGGAAAACAAATCATGTGTGGATTGAATTGTAACGCTACTCTATGTGTATCATCATAGAACAGAGCATAGAATGGCAGTCAACCTACTGCCTCAAATTCATCGATTTTGAAAGGGCCTTTGACAGCGTCGACTGAGAAGTAATTTGGCACCTGCTTCAACATTATGGTTTTAGTGCCACAAACCTTTATCAACCTCATTCAACAACTATATAAAGACGCTACATGCCAAGTGATTCACAATGGAAAGCTCAGTGGCACCTTCAAAGTGAAGACGGCAGTAAGATAAGGTTGCCTACTATCACCAATGATCTACCTGATTGTGGTCGACTGAACTGGATCATGCAAAAAACTGTGAGGAAGGAGAAGATGAGGATATGCTGGTTGGACCGATGAAAAGACCCTAGAAGATTTAGATTTCGCCGATGATTTATTTCTAATGTCTTATATGGCACAAACTCGAAGATCTACAGGCGAAAACTAGCAAGTTGGCAAAAGAGACAGCAAGGATGGGACTTCAGGTGAACGTAGAGGAGACAGAGGTGATGAAGATGCCCAATGAACAACAGCATCAATAACAAGCACCAATTACCATGAATGGCAGAAATGTGAAGAAAGTTGTCTCTTTCATCTACCTAGGCAGCATTGTTTCAACTGCAGGCAGCGGCACAGTCACAGATGAGGATGTCAAAGCCGGGATTAGGAAAGCAAGACAGGCCTTCACTAATCTGAAACCAGTGTGGAGATCTACTCAACTCCACTCAGAATAAAGAACAAGATCCGGATTTTGAACACTAATGTCTGTGAAGTCAGTGCTTCTATTTGGTTGAGAGACTTGGTGCGTTACGAAAAGCATTCGAAACAAGCTGCAGACATTCATCAACAGCTGCCGCCTGCGCTCACTTGATACTGACAATGAAGATCGGATGGCTAGAATAATAATAAAAAGCAACAAGGAACTCTGGTTGATGACGAACCAACCAAGAACCGATCGTCTAACAAATATGCCGAAGAAAGTGGAGATGGATTGGATTCGACATACAATGAAGAGACGATTCGGAGACATCACGTGCCAGGTCAGACCGTCGAGTGGGACCCGAATGGGAAACGACGAATCGAGGGGTGACATGCAGATGGTGCAAGGAAGAAATGAAAGCTTGTGGGCAGTCATGGAGCCAGGTTCAAAAGACTGCAGAGAAGAGAGTGCAATGTAGACGTGCTACTGAAGCCTTATGTTCCACTAGGAACCCAAGGGACAAATAATTATAATAATGATAATAACAGAAATAATAATAATAATAAAACCATTTCTTGTTATTATTTAGCACCAGTGCATGGATGTTCTGCTTCGCAGAATGTATTAACTTGTTATTGTTAAAATTTTCTAGAAAATCAGATCATTATAAAAGAAGCAACAAGTGGGTCAGTTTCATGACTGACAATCATACCTCACAGTAAAAGTTTTCATTCGAATCTATATCCGGCCACAACAGATGAGGCAGTGGACCGTAAAATGACTCCAGTAGACAAATCAGTACGCTAGTTTCAATGAAGCGGGATCCACTTGTAACAGAATCATGATTTAAAATTCCCAGCATTGTTTCAGGTTTCATAAATATCAGCTAATAAAAAGATATTCAGTGTATGCAGCAAATTAGACTTCAGAGAACTCATTTGAAATGTACAAAGTTTATTTCGATGGTTTGACTGGCATTTTTGTAATCTCGACGAAAACGTCATTACATTAATCACTTTTATTCATCATTCCTAAACCGATTGTTACGTAAACTTTGACTACCATAATATTTGCTAAATGTGTTTTAATCTATAAAATAACAAACCAGTCAAAAACGCATAACTAACCATTTTAGTTAGAACACCATCAATCTGCTGAGCTTCTTGAACGGAAAATGAATTAAATGATATTACCTATATCACATTAGCATGTAGTACTTCGCTACTGAATTCAAACTTTTTGAGTAGATGAATATTTGACAACTGTATTTTTGATTAAAAACTTTTGCAGAACCTTACGTCCATATTCACAAGCGTAATTTGTGGTGGTTTTACAATAACTACACTTTATATACAACGAGTAGAAGAACAGTTAACTGCCACACCATATCTATGTTTAGAGAATTGTGTCTGAAAATACAATTTATTTCACATCTGGAGAAATATATCACTAACAAGTGCTCTGAATATTTTTCTACTTTATCCATTCATATCAGATCAAGGAGCATAAAGCATAATGTACTTTTTTATATTATGAACGTGCCAGGAGTATACTTATAGGCATAATAATATTCGAAAAAACTGCGTTTCACTAGGTATTCTTCTTAACGACCCCTACTTAACTGTATAATTCGAGTCAATTACAGAAACAAGAAGAGAATGAAAAATACCAATTGATAAGCAGACAAATGAAAAATTAACATGCTAAAAGTCAGTTTGCAGGAATATTAAAATTTTATTCATTCTTGACACACATCAACAAAGTGCCTTTACAACTTTAAGAAAGGTGATTTAATCTCAGAGACTCGAAACTATGGCATTCAGAAATGAGGTCAAAGACGAACCCTGATGCAATGAATGGTCGGCTGCAGGACTGGATTATGTGGAAAAACTGATCGCTGTATATACGTCACTGGTAAACTTCAACTTGACACCTACATTAATCATCGTACAGCAATATATTCGCGCAAAACACCTTTGTCAATACAAGTATTACGAAGGTGAGCAGGAATATTAAAAAAAGACACACCTAAAGTCCACTTGTGAATATCGTTAGGTTCATTAGTCTTATCGTGAATATACAAGTTCCAGTGAAGAAACTTCAATGACGTAACACCTTTGTTTGATAGTGCTTTCATAATGCAGACAGACATATAAAACATCGCAATCAATTAGGTCGAATGCAAAAAACGGCTTTACCTATTTCGGAACACGCTATGAAGATTGAAAACTAAATACAAAGTTAGGCTCAACGAGGAGACTTATTTGTGACTCGTCAGCTATGTATTAATTAACTATGTATCCTGTTAGCTTACTAACCACGTTAGTTATTTTCAGAGAAGAAAAGCAATATGCGGCAAGCGTACTTTCGATTTTTATTTACTCAACTTTCCGAAATTCTACTTTCGCCATCTAAATACTCTATTATGTAAGTAATTTGTTCATACTGCTTCTAATGCTGGAAATTTGTAACATGTCATTTTATGAAACTTTTCTTAAGGACTGATCTATGCATTTAGATAAAAGTTGTTCCACAGTTCTGGGCTACTCCAGTTGAGTTAACAAACTGTTTCATCCATTAATTGTTTGCTCTTGTCTGTAGAGCCGGTAGAAGTTAAAAAGTCATTTGCTTTATCAATACATGGTATTTGAATATTACGCACTCACTGTACCAGTGCATCACTTGAGATATGCTTGGTTTGTAGACAAATACAAGGCATTTGAAAGTTATTGTACCATTTTTGACAGCATTCAGCTCATTATCATATCTACTACATAACTTCATATTTCGCCCTGGTTTTATAAGGATGAAAGAAAATGTATCAGAGGTTTTATCCTTGAGCATTTAATCGATTACAACCATTCAACCGACCCAAACAATGATTTTAGAGTTGTCTGTCGAATTCGCTCAAATACTTCACATTTCCTCCGTGTTCACCTTCTAAAAACAGCAGAGGCCTTGACTATCATGAGCTGAAGCCTGACTTTTGTGTGCAAAAGAAGTATGTACGGTCTTTGTCTCTACCTTGGTCTTAACTTATTTTAGTCTGGGTGTGCTTCATTCCTTTTTCGTTCTTCAACTTCTTTCCCATTTATTTTGTCAGATTAATCTTTGTACTCTTATATCGTCACTATCAATTTGTTTTTATATTTAATTGTTTCCGGTGTTATTTCATTCGATTTTCCTAATAAACGCAACTTTTAACATTTTCAATTTATTCATTTTACTTGTCTCACTCATATTACCTAATCCTTTGGTTATTTATTAACTCTACCACGTTCTCATCCCTCTGTAATCTATATGCACCTTATAAACGATCTAAAAATCTTGCGCAACCCTTTTTGCTATCGTTCGACCTTTACGTCGTCAACTGGCAACACTATTATTATAAACAACATTACTATTATTTCAACCTCTCATTATTTAAGTTAAATCTGCCTCATGGATTACAGCCTCTAAATATCATATATATACGAATGTACAGCTTGAGAATAAATTCGTTGAAAAGAGTCCTCTTCGCTGAATATCTTGTTTTTGATATCTACCACACCTAAAGCTTTCGTTTCTTAAATATTTCTGTCGACCATGGTCTCTTAAGTATAGTCTTTTTGAGTCAGTCTTCTCAACTAGTACACTGTCACTGATTTCTGACTTTAAGTTTAATATCACTTGGTGAAGGTTGGGTGCTTCTATTGATTTAGATTATACTACTAGGATCCAATGATACGTAGTGGCTTTTTTGCCAATGTAATGGTAGATTATATTACTAGCCTATTGTAATGCCAATATGAAATAGTCTGGTCAATTTGGCCTCAAATAAGCTATTGGCAGATGAAACGTTCAAATGGGTGTACTGAAATTTTGAATTAGCTTTTGAGGCTCACTCACATTTCTAAATCTATGAATGATGTTAGAATTCCATGTGTTTGTGATTAAGATACAAAATAAGCTATCAAAAATCTTTTGTATAATGATAACAGTACCCAGCAGCACTGCACAAATGGTAAGATATAAAGTACAAAGTTCATTAGGTATATCGGATATGACATAATATGCTCACTCACGCCTTCAAAAGAATCAGCAAATTCATGAGGCAGCGACATATTTCTTGCACATATGTTCACCAAAGCTCCTATCCCTAGAATAATGTCCAGTTCCACAGCTGTGATTTGAAACTCTGCACAATGCGTTTCCAGACGATTAGCAGGAGAAACTTCGAACGTTTTTTTTGAAAAACAAAATATACTTCTATCCCAAGATTTGATCGCAGAAAAAAGCAATTTTATAACTAGTTGAAGTGAATATGTAAGTATTTGAAAAATTAAAAGATGAAAAGTGATTAATGGGCAGAATGATCCGACTTTAAAAATTGTACTTTCGTGTTGCTTACCTTAATTACACTAAGCAAGCAAGTTACCATATGCAGAGAACATAGACAACTATATCACAGTTAGCCACATATACCTTGAATTCATTTTTCAAGCACATAAACTTTTTAAAAAGTACCATCGCATCGGAGCAAGTAACTGTTGATAGTAATTATCACCCATATTACGGAATAGGTGAATGGATATCTTCATAATTAATCAACAGTAGTTAGCAACTATGCACATGTTAGGCTTTATATTTTCATATGAGATTGGCGGTTATCGTTGTTAATTTGAACGAAGAATGAACAACTACAAACATTGCGATTAGCTTGTTGGATAAGAGAATACTCTGGTTTTATAAATGTATCCTTAGAGCTTTCTGATACTTGATAGCTCATATACATTTGAAGTAACATAAATTTAAGAACTGACATTAGTTAATTAATAGGTGAAATGTGGGTTAACTAACTTTGAACTTGCGTATTACTTTCAGAATTCATTAAGAGGTGTAACAAAATTTTGAGAAGATCACTTCTCAGTGTTGATACGGGACTGGACTGTTCATTTTCTAAAAACTGAATCACTAAGATTTTTCATCAGATAAATAAAACTTTAGAAACATACTTTGTTGTCCCACCATGATTACAAACTGAGAATGAAGTAAGACTTCACACAGTAATGTACAAGTAGTCTTCAACATTTTCACGTAAACGCATTTCAGATCAACTAAATATGAAAATAATGGAATATTCTGTTAGGTTTAAAATACGGAATGTATTTTATTTAATAATTTGAGGACAAACTATTTGTATTTTTTATCGCGTTTACTGAAATAAAGAACAATACGAGTATGACAAATGTGAATTACATCGTTTGCATTGTCTCTAAATCTAACACGATATATTATGTGGTACGGTACATCACTCTTCTAAAAGTTCAGTAATCAAACACCCATGAGCATGTTTAAATCTATCGTGTGATAACGGGTGATTCGCATACTTTTACTGGTGTCCACTGTTCCCATTTTAAATTGACTTTGTCAAAGATTTGCTTATCAAGGTAATCCTCTCCTAATTTGGTTTACTGAGGACTAAACATGTCGTAGAAATCTCCTTAGTCAGCCTCCAATAGGCATAGGTAGGTGAGAAAGCTTGTAAGATAAGGTCTTCTGAATACCTTGAGTGGTAAACGGGAATTGGCTGAGACATTTTTGCCACCATAAGTGAGAATGTGAACCTCTCATTTGGGATCTGCTAGGTATTCCATCCCAGTTATACAATCGCATTTATACAGTATCTTCATCCTAACCTCCATATCACATTTTATTCATTTTACCTCCTCTTATCTTGTCATGAATTTCTACGAATTCTGATAGAGTTTTTTTTACTTCCATGTCTTTAGGCCTGATGTTTGAATGTGCTGATGTAAAGTACGATAACTAAGACGGCTATGCAGTAACGTCAGGTCCCATTAGGGTTTTTAAGATAAGAAAAGTAGCCAGTACACGCAACCGCTTCACTCCATATTATCAAACAAAAGGTATCCGTGTAGATCAGTCCTGAAGAAACAGTTTGTAATCGAAAGAAAAAAAAGGTATCACATTCAGTATATCCAAAGGATTCTGAAATTTGTCAGTGTTTTATCGAATAGGACTATGTGATTTTCATACTCCAAGTCAACTAAGGGTTCTTATGAGAAGAGATCAGCTCTCGTAAAATCAAATGAAGACAGGAGAACCTCCATAAAAGCAATCAAAAAAGTTAAATAAAGTGGAGAAGGTGGTTTAAACTGCCGTTTCACTCAATAGATAACCATAGACCGTAGCCCCATCACATATGTTTTTGCATGTGCGCAATAAGTCAAAATTTCATGTTGATATTAACTAATTGACAGTAGGCATGATAATTGGTTAGGTCACTAACCTTTGTTTTTAATGACTAAACACTTTTATTTCACTGTACTGTCTCATGTAATAAGTTGAATCTACTACTGAAAAACTTACCATTACTAACAATATAGTCCAAGTTTCGAGAAAGTTACAGTCCGCCACAAGTTTTAAAAGTAAAACATTCTAGGAAAGTCATTGAAGAATACCACTTAAATTCAATAAAATAAAAAAATGAACATCTGCTGGGTCACGACCGTCTCAGATAGTCCTAACAACAAGAATGAGCTTCTAATACAAACGAATATGTAGGATGGTGATAATACTGACAAGTAGTAAATAGCATAGTGTCAAAAATAGTGAGTGAGAAGAAATACTTTTTTAAACATAACTTTCAGTGGAACTGCATTTAGCTGACAATGTATTCCTTTTTGCAGGTAGAATGAAAACGTTAATTGTGTGATTATGCAACCATTTAAAACGCACACATCTATTGGTAACTTTTCACATAAAGTAAGGAAAGCTAGATTAGCATAAACTCAGTCATATCATGGAATATGATACACTATACACGAATCAGATAACGAATGATCAATATAGATTCCAATCCGTTAGTGCTGTTCAAAGCTGATTGATTAGATTTTTCTAACATGATGACCTCATAATGCCTGTACCACATGATCTAAAACCAGTAGCATATGTGGGCTTGTTTCTGAAGATTTCATGTTTCCTTCTTGCTATCTAATAAGATGATTTGATTATCAGTCAGCTGTTTACTGTTTTTAATACGAAATCCTGACTGTGCTGATAATGCGAATTTATGAAGTTGTGGTAATAATAACGTATCTGATAACCAAGAGCTCTTGCTCGTGCAATATGTTTTACCACAACTAATGTAGTTTGAGTGTGTGTATGCATGACTGTGATCGACAGCTGTCATCTTGTAGTGGTAGTCGGATTTCAAAGAATCAACAATCTATGCTGGTGGAAGCACTTGTTCTGTAATATCATACCACATCAAGAAGGTCTGTTGGGTACTTTTTAGAAAAAAAGACTTGCCGTTATTTTATAAGTAGCTGCGCTATGACCGGGATTTGATGGAGAAGTCGTATAGTTGACTGAACAGGGATGTGACAATAGGAAGGTGTTTCATATTGATGACCACTCGTTTATACTGATGTTGTCTTCCTTACGACAGAGAGGGAACTTCGAAAACATAGACCCCAAAACAGCACACTACCTTTTACCCTGTGTCTGTGGATGGTTATTTTTAGCGAGATTTATGACAATCAAAGTTGATTCTCAAACTCTAAACTAGGGCTGGTGGGCTAGCATATGGGACATCTATTGAGCTCTGCGATCACGCACCACTGTGACAAGCAATTTGGTCTTCAGGCACTTCAAGGATAAAAAACGTTTCCTGATATAGGCAGCCAGGAAGTGTCGATCGCCCCAAGATTCTTTCAGTGCGGATGGACGATAAAATGGTACCTTATTATTTAATAGGTTTCTCGTCAGATGCTCATTACTTAAAGTATCTAAGTATCGTCTGAACATATTTCTTACAGTTAGGTGAAGTTATTTAAAAGGAATCCATATAGTATTACAGAGGATACAAACATCCGCATGAAGTTATCAAGATAAACTAAGAACTTTCAGTCATATATCTAGTTAAGTGGCGAGTTTAAAAACTAATATGGATAGAAATAGTGTTTTGGTATTTAGAACAAAAGATTACTTCGGAAGATTCAAAAGAAGGTTATGTGATGATAAGAAACAGACTAATTATACAAGAATGCTAGGAGTTGTAGTCAGTTGGTAAAACGATCATCAAAATACTTTACAGACAGAAAAAGGTCCAGCCAGAACGTTGTTATAAAATAAGAGGAGGCAGAAAACTAGGTTATTAGGACAATGTAAGACTGACCGCCTCTTCCTATTGAACACAAATCAGGTTTCAATCGTTTGATCGTCACAGCCTCAGAAAACTATATATGGTTCGAATTCTGCTTTTTGTGGATTAGATTGAAACATTCCAAAGTAAATGCTTCATATCACGTGTCAACAAGATGAAAAGTAACTGTACACCTGATAGCAGCTGTTACCCAGAGACGTTGGGTTTTGCTACAAGTTCAGTGAATCTAAAGCATGGCCTATTCTGTGTTATCCCAACTTAACTTCTGCCTAAGATGTTTGTAAACTTGTACGTAAAATAAGTGGTAACGCAGAGAGGAAATGTGTTGACTTTTGACTACACCAAAGACTATATTGTTCCGTGGAGGGGGCTCAACTTGGCTGCAGGGTTTTCATGTTCAATGTGGTTTTCAGTCTTTTATTGGTTCTCCGTTTGGCATTGTCACCTTTGAAGTTGAGTTAGGTAAAAACTGGTTTCTTGCTTAGTGTTTTACTCAATGTCTTCAGACATTCCACATTCATTGATTAACTTCTGTGGGTAACCGTTGTCTTGCAAGGTTTAATCATTGCTGAAAAAATCTTGAATTTTATAGCATATATATATCATTCTGGTTCTATAAACAGGTGTTTCGACTAATTTCCGTTTACAACTGATAAGAGAAAAACTGCTAGAATTTAGTTAAAAACATTACATTTACTTTTCCCATGAATGGAATTTCGCAGTGTACCAACCCTTCTACGTTGCAATGTAATATCTGAAAAGTTGAGTTTATCATTGTTTTCATGTTAGCTATTAGATTCGACGTTTTCATCAGCATCATTGCAGAGTTCTGGTAAGTAGGATGGATTATGAGGGACTTTGCACACGACAAATGTGTCATTGATAATTCTAGAATATGACGTAAGTTGTTCAATGACGTTCCGAATCTTTATCTTTTTGGAATTGGCAATAAAGATGTCCACCAACACTGGGCCTAGTGAACTGCACAGAAAAAAACAGATCTTCCTCTGGAACTGACAGAACAATGGACCTTCTTTGCTCGACATTTCTATCATAAGTAATACGTTTTAGTTGATAAACGAGCCTCTATGTTTCTTAGTACAAAGTGTCAGTTGTGAAAATCATTCGAATCCATTTGAAAAAACACTTGACTGGTGCCAGCTCATACTGAACGGGACAGCAGTTATGTTATTTAGGTAATGTCTTCTTCATATAAATGTTTCTATAGATGGGTAACGATACTGATCTATCTTACAAATGAGTTGTGAGAATGCATTGAAATGTCAGGGATATACTACTCTGAACTTTATTTATTCCAATGTGAGTAGGATAAGCATCTTCTGGTTTACCACATTTAATTAGGATCTCATCCAAATATCTTTTGTAAAAGGAACTTCTGCAGTAGAATTTTCAACCAGACTCTCAATATGTTATACATAGATCTCTGCTAGTGAGGAGTCTAACGGACTTCCCATGATCACACTAGCGATCTGGCGGAAGTGTTCATCAACATAAGTGTAAAACATGGGCACTGTGGTAGAATTTAATTCCATATTAGATTTTCTTATTTGATTTATAACACACAGTGATCTAGTATTTAGTTACTCAAGTAAATAATACGAGATCACTGTGTGTTATAGATCAAATAAACAAATCTAATATGGAAGTGTTCATCCTCAACTGTCAATTGAACAGCTTTCTTAAGATAAGGAGGCAGAAAACCCGTCGGAAATGTCCGTGTGCACATGACCAACTTACAAGCCTTCTCAAAGGTTGATGGAGCCATCAGGAAACAATTTTATAAATTCATTTTAACGTTACTTGAGCTAGTTGGACATCTTCTTGATACTAGCTTTTTTTGATCTAAATTCGTTGCGAACTAATGTTCCTTTAATAAAGTCAGTTGACATTTCATTTGATGATATCTCTAATAACGATACTTCATAGCCACTCTAAATGATTCTCTCTCTTATTTCTGTCAGTCATACCGCCTTTCTTTCACTTCAAGCAGAAGTCAAGGAAACTTAGTTGGTCTGCATCTGATTACAACGCAGACTTAATTATCTTAAGGAATCTGCTTCTCTCATCTACCAGTATTGTTAAATTGACAGTTGAGGATGAACACTTCCGCCAGATCGCTGGCGTGATCATAGGATTCCTCACCAGCAGAGATTTATGTATAACAAATTGAGAGTCTGATTGAAAATTCAACTGCAGAAGTTCCATTCTACAAACGATATGTCATAATTATATGTCGGTTTTTGAACCTAACTGACTCCCTTTGTCTTTGGCATTTCCAATAATTGCTTGACAATTATTGACATTTTCCTCTATTAGCTACGCGCGCTGATGACTTATTTGACTGAGATTGCGTCGCTTCTGAGAATGGTAGTACAGGAAACAAATTTATCTGCTGATGCCTTTCCTCTTTTGTGACTCGACGTTGCATTATTTTGCACAGTAAATTTCATGGTATCCATATCCATTGTGATAACCAAGTAATGGTGAATAACAAGTTAGGGGAAAGTGTCCGTTGCTCATAAGATGACAGCTACGAATTCATAATAAATGATATAAAATATGAACTGTTGTGCTTATTACGACTTGAATGAAGTGCCATCAGATGTGTGGAAGTGTTGAATAAAGTACATCTATGTGCTGACTTGAAAACCACTTTAGGAGGTTGCATTTTATTACTGCTACTAACAGCTGGGTGACAATTGCTTGAAATATTGGTGGGGATAGGAGTGATAGCTTCATTTACTTCAGATTTGGTGGCTTGTAATGAGATTATAATCGGAAATGGGTAAATGATCTAGGTTTCAGTTTCCACAAATCCGCAGTCATAGGTAATGTAAGGGTAGTATTCTTCGTCATTTTGACTTCTGGTTACAGAGATATCCAGTAGTTAATAGTCCATGGTAATAGTTATTTATTAAGTCGAAATAAAAACATTAGCGATTTCGTGTGAATACAGAGTACCGATTACAATTCTTGTTCTTCATATGCTAGTTTTATTACTGTGGGTCATGGTCAGAATCCTATTGTAACTAAAAGTGCAAATTTCCAATTCTCAAGTGTATTGGTTATCTTCTAAATAATGAGTAACTCATTAATCTTTGAGTTTACTATTTTTTTCAATGTGAACTTCAATACCTCTTGTTTTCCAAATACTACTGCTACGACTTCTAATGATGATAAAATCTTATCTATTTTTATTCTGTTAGGTAAATGGTAACGTTTTGAACCACTGTAATTTTGAACTAAGCTCTATTTGTTTTTTTTGTCCACTAATGGTCGTCATATAGTCCTAATTTAAGTAGTATTGAATGTCCCACTTTTTACTGAAATACAAAAAAATCATGAGTGAAATACAGATCAACCAGTGGTCCTGTGGAAAGGAGATCAACTCTTGAGAATCGGAAGGTAAAGAGTCACACTCAGTGGTTTGCAAGTAACAATAGTGGATTCAGATAGCAATATTGTGGACCAACCTATTACTGTAGTGAAGGCTGAATAAGTTGTCTAGGCTGGTGTTGAAAGGTCTAGGAATAAACCTCAAAGCTCAGAAAACACCAAACAAGTACCATTCTCAACTATCCTAAAAGGTACTGATTATTACAAACAAGCATAATCTCACTACAAAATCTCAAAAGAAAACACTAGTTTAGGTGAAGAACTCTTTGTGTAAACGTATTCATAAGCAAACCCAACTACAAAGCTTTTTATTCAATCTAGTCAATCACTACGTTCCGCTCAGTTAATATTTTCAGTATGCGTATCAAACATAATACAACTGCTTTTTCATCGCTAGACTAAGGATATCTTATCAATACATTTTCTTCAATGTACTCTGAGTGCACGTATCTTTTAAATGCTTTCACAGCCTGCTACGCTTGAAATAATTTTAGGATTGTCACGTAAATACAATTTGCCATAAACAAATCCATTCGGTTGACTTATCATTATTATCTGATAAGCATATTCTCTAGTTATTTGACTCGAGTTTCATGCCTATTAGTTACTCACTGAGAATGTACAATTAGTTTACAAAAGGTATTTTGACCAGGAAACTAATGAATGAAGGTTACCTTCGAATAATAAGGAAACATAGTGGTAACTGATGAATGAAAAGATCTCGTAAGAATAAATATAAAACACTGCTAAAAAAATATGTTTTCTGATGATCATTCTGAGATACATTATATGTATACAGGTAAAACACGGCTATCCACCTTTTATACTTCCTTATCTCCTGGGTGTATTTGTGTTACAACATCTGAAATCTATCGAATTTTTGTAGGTTTTCCCTTAAGGTTTTAGTCATTGTCTGAAAAAATGTTACTATAAAACGTGCATTTTATAAATAGGAAATATTACTGGTAGCGTAAAATCATAAAAGATTATCTGATTAGGCAGCTAGAAATGCAAAGAAGGGCATCAGTTCAAGTTGAAATAACACACAAAAGAAGTGATAGGAAAAATAAAGATGCAAAAGCAAACGAGGTTGTTAAAAAGGAGAAATTTTAAAAAATATATGAAGCCTTGCGAAATGTTATTAATTTAAAACGGATAAGGGTTGACTACACCATACTTGTGATGTATTTTTATCAGTGCTACAAAACATCTACAACCAGTAATCCTTAGTATCCAGAAAAACTTCCCTATTCTCTTTAAAATGAGTTTGTGTGCATGATAATGTTATAACTTGGAAATTTATGACCTCCACGATGAAAAAGTTTGCGAAGGGCTATTAGGCAATATCGATTTGTCACGCGTCAAAACCTTCTTAAGTCTGGTATGATTCAAGGGCTACGTTATGTCCAGGTTGAGAAGGAAAACTGAAACATTGACATACCAGAGATGGCCAATTATACCTCTCCAGTAGCTGTTCATAATAATTAAATTACTGAACATAAAACACTATCATGGTGTTTGTTAAAGCTTCGATAAGTAACCTCAAACCTCAGATTCGCCTTAAATGGCGCAAATCTATAAATGTTAACCATAATTTCTACATTTTTGTAGAAATTTTAATGCAGATCAGCTTAATACGGTTAAAATCGCTAGATGAATACCTAAATATTATCAGGGAATGGAACAGTTCAATACAAATTGTGGAATTCAACTCAAAAAGTCAATCTAACCCGCTCAATCATATCTGTCATTGAAAAATATATTCTTATTGCTCACTTGTTTACGGTACTGGCATTTAAAAGTCTACAATGTCTTAGATAGAGTGAAATAGTGACAAAGCAGGTTTAACAACCATTAAGTGTAGTTCTGTGAATAATATTCCCTCAAGACAGAGTTCTTTGCTGTTATGAGCAAGTTGAAAATTACGGATAAAATAACATTAGAAATGGTGGGAAGCGTAAGTACAGAATACGAATGAAATGGAATGTGTTATAGAATTCAAAACAGAATGCAATATTAGGAGGAATCAGTGAACTTACAGCTTTGGAAAAATTCTGAAAAGGAGCTTGGGAGGTTGTTAGGTAAAAATGAGAGGCAGTCGCAAATATAAATCGCCAACTGATTCCGCTGAATCACAGAACACTCTAGATTTTTTAGGGGTTCATCTTCTTGCTTCTTGAATAAAGGTTTGATAATCGAAAACAAATTTTTTTTAATACAGCTTT